AGAACTTTATGCCAGTGACATTATTCCAAGTGTTTGGTTGCATCAAAGTTTTCTGTCCAATAATACTAAATATAACTAATGGAATATCAAAGATGAACAAATAAAAGAACTGCAGAAGAATCTCACCCCTAGGGCTTTGGTCTAATGGTAAGAGCTCAGAATGTGATGCATAGGTTAGCGCATGTCACATGCTCGAACAATGCTGCAGACAAAAGGATGGTATTTAAGTGGAGAAGGGTAGAGGGGAGGGCCCATTATCGATAGAGTTTCGAACCATGCGCCACCGGCCCTCGGGATTTATTGGTCGTAAAAAAATAATAACGGAAGAATCTCATGATTATGAAAACCTATCATTATCCAATTTCTCTTTCTCTCGCATATGACAACCTATAGTTTTAGCTTTTAGTCTAAGAGTTAGTTGCATTTAAATTGCGGCTTCTTTACGCTAAGCTACTATTTATCTTCCTATTTTTATTTGACCTTGTCGGATTATTTCTTTGAACAACTTTTGCTAGTATCTCTTCACGTGATACTGGAAAAACAATGGTAGATGCCTCCTTGGGAGAAATAATGACTACATGTGAAAAGATACATTGGCTTCTTTCAGAGGGTGAAAAGTGGCTAAAGCCTGAATACCGGTATGTCATGCAAATGGTTTTCCGTACTTGCATTTCTATAAAATAGTGGATCCATTGCTTACATGGCTTCAGCCCTTGATACCTAAAAAGAAATTTATGATAAGATGTTGTGGTTTGCAGTACATGTGGGAGATCAATGCTTCACAAGACTGCAAAAGTGGAATTTTATCCTCTTGGTGTTGTTGGTGCTATTGTTTCATGGAATTACCCATTTCACAATATCTTTAATCCAATGTTGGCTGCAGTCTTCTCAGGGAACAGCATTGTGATAAAGGTCTTCATTTTTCTTTTCCAACTACCTACAATGCTTGTTTGCTCATGGATAGAACTTTAGCAAAATGGTATGCACTTGGAAAATATTTGAGATGAGCATACTTAAATGTAGTTGTCACATCTTGAACTTTAAATATGTACACATACAATTAAAACTGCAAACCATACAACCTCTCAGAAGCAAAATGCTAAAAAGCAGTGGTTTTGACTTTGACGAGATCCCCTCGCTGTTACCTTAGGTCTCAGAACATGCCAGTTGGTCTGGGTGTTTCTATCTGCGAATCATTCAAACTGCTCTTGCTGCAGTCGGAGCTCCTGAGAACTTGGTAGAAGTTATAACAGGGTATGCATTTATAGAGCATTTATCATCTTCGCTATGGGTTGATTTGTCATACATTTTATCAAACTTCCCTTGCCAGCTTTGCTGAAACTGGAGAAGCACTAGTATCCTCTGTCGACAAAATGATATTTGTTGGATCACCTGGTGTGGGCAAAAAGGTAAGTCTCCCTGAATAGGGCTTATCTTTTGATATCTAATGTGGAGCAACTTAAATTCCCTTTTCATCTTCTCGATACCTTTGAGTAAATTTTCTTTTTCTTTTTCTTTTTTCTGCTTTATAAATCCTAATGTTCTGACTTTGTGTTCTGCAGATTATGCGGACTGCTGCAGATACACTGATACCAGTTACCCTTGAGCTTGGTGGAAAAGATGCATTTATTGTCTGTGAAGATGTCGATGTGCCACATGTATAAATTTTTCCAGTCTGCTTTCTTTTTGGGGATAAAGTACATTTGATTACTTTCCACTATGATAAGATCATTCAAATCTCTACGAGAAATTAAAGAAAGAAGATCATTCAACTATACCTTTATTTTTATGAGCCTTCAAAGAAATAATCAAACTTAATGCAGGTTGCACAAGTTGCTGCCAGAGCAGCTCTCCAATCAAGTGGGCAGAATTGTGCTGGTGCAGAACGTTTTTATGTTCACAAGGACGTTTACTCTTCTTTTGTTGCTGAAGTAGTTAAAATTGTGAAATCGGTTACTGCTGTACGTAATTTTTCTCATTTTTGCCTCATTTTCAACTCGATGCATTATAAGATCTTTATTCTTCATGAGACATAGCATTTTGCACATAATGGTTGTTTGACTTCTTAGTTAGATGGCTTACTGATCTTATCTGAATGCTCAGCTCCCAATATATCATGTTCATCCTTGTTCAGTTTCCAGTAGGCTGCTAATTGTGAGCGTTATAAGTATGAGTTTGCCCAGAATTGAGAGATAAATACATAATAGTTTCCTGAAGCCTAACTGTTACCTTTCTCCAAAAAAATAATTCCTGAAGCCTCAGCATAAAACTACTTATTCTTTTGTTAATGACATTAATATTAGTGATTCTGCTGATGTGGTCCGATTTTCTAAAATAATTATATAATCTAAACTGAATTTTATTGTAGGGCCCTCCTCTATCTGGGAAGTATGACATGGGAGCCATATGCATGCAAGAGCATTCTGAAAAGCTTCAGTACCTGGTAAATGATGCCCTAGACAAAGGCGCTGAAATTGTTGCTCGAGGAAGCGTAGGCAATATTGGCGAAGGTGCTGTTGATCAGTACTTCCCTCCTACTGTGATTGTAAACGTAAATCACACCATGAAGTTGATGCAGGAGGAGGTATCATCAGTTTGATAGATTTTCTTTTGTTTTAGTTTACTACAGGGATAAAGGTGGTCTAGTTAACTCCATATGGAAATTGCTCGCAGGCTTTTGGACCAATATTGCCGATAATGAAATTCAGCTCTGATGAAGAAGTTGTTCAGCTTGCAAATGATTCAAGATACGGACTTGGTTGTGCTGTATTTTCAGGCAGTCAGCGTCGTGCTAAGCAGATAGCTTCAAAATTACATTGTGGAGTGGCTGCTGTCAATGACTTCGCATCAAGTTACATGTGTCAGGTACTTGAAGTATACGCATCAGACTCTTGAGGCATTTTATCAAGAGTTTGGCATACTTATATGTGACTATTTACTTCATGATGATTGAGGTGTGATTACAAACTAACGACAATTTTGTGAACCTCAGACAATACCCTGTGACATATGCATGAGAACTCCATTAGTGATTGCCGTAATTACTTTTTCTCCATTATTACTATTTTATGTATCAAGGTTCCCTCTGCTTAAGTCTAACTGTCCTACTTGAAAGTTTATGCAGATCCGACATGGTCTTATTATTTCTTAACCTTAACATCAAAAGAGATCAAAAAGATCCTTTCCGTCATGACTTACCCCCATTCTTCAATTGCCAAAGTAACCCTTAATTGCATAACCTAATCCAAAGCTACCTTTCCCCTCATGACTTAACCTCATTCTCAATTAGTGAGGCTCATGACCTTTCTGCTCCCATCATCTGTCCTGAAGCTTCGTGTCCAACCCTGACATCTCCCTCTTCTAAAGGCCAACTACCTCAAAAGTCCCAAACTTTATCCTTGAAAACTGACTTTGGTTTAAATATTTGGACCTCCCAGCTTACTTGGTTAACGCCATCCCCCTTCCCGGCATCCCTTTTTTCATGTTTCTTTTCAAATTGCGCCCCTTCTCAACCCTTCTTCTGAATAATGATATGCAGTCCCTGCCATTTGGTGGTGTAAAAGACAGTGGATTTGGAAGATTTGCTGGTATTGAAGGATTGCGAGCTTGCTGTCTTGTAAAATCAGTTGTGGAGGATCGGTGGTGGCCTCTTATTAAAACCAAGATACCAAAGCCTATTCAGGTGAGTTCCACATCTTCTAAAATCATTCTATCATTCGTACATTTCATGTCATTTACCCCATCTTTTTGCAGTATCCTGTTGCTGAGAATGGATTCGAGTTTCAAGAGTCTCTTGTGGAGGCTCTTTATGGTTTGAATATCTGGGATCGTTTACGGGCATTGGTGAATGTTTTGAAACTCCTTTCAGAGCAAACCACCCCCACGAGCAATAGAAGGCGAAGTGACTAAAACTACTGCTCGTCTTTTTTGCCAGAAGCTTAAAAACAAGCACTCAAAACAATTTCCTTTGATCTCTCATCCCGCAATTGCTCTCAGGGTTGAACTCTTACCAACGTTTACCTTTGGTTTACTAACTGGATAATCAATTTTGTTTTTTATCGGGATTATTCAGATCAGTTCTAATTACTTTTCTGTCCAGCGTTGACACTCGTGAAATTGTTAAGCTAAAATGGTTCATCGGCACTATCCCATGGTGCATGACTATGGCCCGGGCTATATGTATCCTCTGATAATGATCATTCTTATTCTCAAAATCGCACCATTTTAGTAAAAGTTCTGCCCAGTGACATTCCAATCCGAGCCAAAAGAAACTTGTATACCAAATTGAAATGAGACCATAGTTGTATTACATTAGCAATATTTCTAAGTTTCATGCTCAGGCCTTAGCTATGATAGTTAACTGTACTGGGCAAAGACTTGAATATTCAGTTACATTGAAAGACAAAATATCTCCTCTAGCACCTCACTCACAAAATAAATAAACGCATGAGATAGTCTCTTCTACAACTCTTGCCTGAAACTGTTCCTATTACCACGAAATAATATAGATACTCAAAAATGACAACTCTGTGTTTAGTATCACAATGCCTAAGGAAAAGAGACCCAGTGGAAACTACAATAGCTACGATAAAATAGTCCCTTAAAACTACTGAAAAGCTGAATAACAAGTTGCAGATAGCACATAAGTAATAAGTTAGTTCTTTCCGTCCAACTACCCATAAGTCTTCACGACTTAACTATAAACTAAACACCAAAATGTTATTTCTGTACTTACTATATTATCCTTGAGTCAATTGTTCAACGTACGAACTTAATAAACAAGGAAAGCAAAATGAAAAATAGCAGAAGACAAATATCTCATGCGAGCTGGCTATTTGAACCTGTAGCTCCGAACCACTGCATCGAACAGGAATAGCTGTTTTCATGCCACTGCTTCCAAAACCTATTTAAGGAACTATAAGAAAAATGACAAACCTAAGAATTGAGAGATTATACATTGGAGCCACCAATGGCTTCCTCCTGTAAAATTGGGAATTCAATAAACTCAAATCATACCATCACTGGTAGCCTGTTATGAGCAACTTAAATCCTTTTGACATCAAAATAATCGATTATACTTTTAAGAGGAAAAAATGGAGTTTAGCAGAGACATAACAATATCCTTTATTAGACGTGTTTTCTTTTCCCTCTTTTCATGGGAAAAGTATTCTTCTTAACCCCAGGTATACCATCAGCAGCCATTTCTGTAGGTGGAATGCCACTATACAGATCCAGTTATGGAGGTAAACTAAGAGGCAGATCCTCTAATATGACCATACAGCCGATGGCATTTGATGAAACATCATTCACTTTAGTTGGCCTCACTTGCAACCCATCTCCTCTTTCGTGCTGGTCTTTGTTGCATAGTTTCAGTCGTGCCAGTAAACAAATCAACGGAAGGCTTAGAGAGATTCTTTGAATCACTTTTAAGAGCAATAGGCTGCTTGAAACGCTCTCCACGCTTTTCCATCTTTGCCATGATCTCCAAAATTTTAGGGTTGTCCTTTCCTTCCACATCTTTAGCATTAGCAAAATTCTTCGTTTCACTGACTTGCGATTTGCCAAAACAAGTGCTTCTCCTTTTAATGGTTTTCTCATTTATTTCTTCAGAAATTATCTCTCCCTCTTCAATATCCAGAGACCCTTTCTGCTGAGCATCTGAGAATATATCGAGCCTCTCTTTATCATTTTCTTTAGGATCAATTGTCAGGTTTCGACTTCTGAGTGTCCTCCTGTAATGGGGTTCGTTAGTTCCATCAATAGGCTTCAGCTCCACATAACTATCTGAATCCAAGTAGCCATACCTGCCAAAGTATGTTACACCCCCTGCTTTGGAGCATCTTCCGGAGGACTGCAGATCCACGGTCACAAACAAAAAATCAAAATCCTGATAGTTTACACAATTAATGAAGAGAGGCCGCCTTATCGTGCAAGAGCTCACATGACACAAAAACTTACCATGCACAAAATTAGAGAACTTGCTAACTGTTAAAAGGCATCACTATCATACTAAGTACTAACAAAACTGAAACTTTGAAAGGGTATGTAAATTAAATCATTAAATAGAAGAGAGTTATTTAATCAATGACTATATTGGTTTGTAAAATCATAATTAGAAGTGAAGAATAAAAGGAATTAGCATACGTGCAAATGAGCAAATCTACAGGACCTGCCGAAGTAGAACACCATGTTTTAGTTTATCAATAACTTCAATTTAAGACGTTGGAATGTGTTAGGAACAAGGATAATCACAAAGCTTTATAATGTTTTCAAAGTATATCAACATAAAATATAAATTATATAAGAGAGTACATTTTTACCATGAGGCATCAATGTATGTAAAGTTGATGGTTATATTGAGAAAAAAGAAATGGATCCTGAAGCAGCAGTAAATGCATTATAATCATGAAACAAAGTATGCAGTTAAAGTTTTCTCCACATCTTTTTTCGATTTTCTATTATTATATTAGTTTTTTCACTTTGAAACAAACAGAGGGAGGGGTGGGAATTAAGCATACAGAGCTGGAAAAGGCAAAGGGCAAATCCCAAATCCTTTTTATATTTTGATATATGGTGTTTAGCTTTTCTTGTTCTTTTTTTCCCTTTTTGATGAAGGTAGTGATTTTGTTGAAAAGATGGGAAAACCCATACATACAATATTTATACCACATAGAGAACCTTAAAAACCATGATGATAGAGAACCATATCCTTTTATAAGAGAACCTTATAAAAAGACATGGTTCTCTACAAAAAACACCCGATCATCAGCACTAACTGGAAATATCAGAAAGTGGTCCAAAAACATACAAGGTATGATGTCTAATTGTTATGTCCTCAGACTGAAAACTATCTCCTTAAGATCCCAAGCACTATGTATCGAAAAATTGAAGACTACTACACCTAACACCCCCTCCCAGTCCCTATCCCCTTAAAAAGATAAAAAAGATTTCATTGTAGTCCAAGTTCAAGCAGGCGCAATACCCAGTATGGCCTCTCAAATCGAATTTAGAGAATTTAACTGTCTGGCTAAAACTATCATTTCCTATCTAAAAGACAAGTTGGCCACACCAAAGACATAAAAGGAGCATACACTAGGAACAGCAACTTCAGTGATGTGGCAATCTACTTTATCTTATTTCACTACCCATCTCACATTCTTGAACAGGATTCAAAGTCATCATTTTCAAATTTCTTGATATTGAGCAATAAATGAAAGCAAAGATAATACTTTAGTAAAAACAGAAGGTATCCCATGTACACAAGCTCATGTCAAGAAAGAACATATGATTTTCTAGAATGTGGAGTTATAACAATAAAGTTCCTGCGTAAGCACAACTTTAGGATAGTTGATACCCAGAAAGAAAAGCACATTCAGGACACGTAGCTTGACGCTAATAGTAAAGTTCAACAAAGTTTTATGCCAATGCCAGCTACAAAAGGCGACTTTCCTCCTAACCGTTTCTCTATTAGAGATAAAAACAATCAATGAAGTCATGCAGAAACATTGTGCGAGTGACGTATCAATCTGCCAGAATCAGAATAGAAAGATCCACAACCCCTTTCAACCACAGAAATAGAAACTCTTTTCTTCAATTGAGATCTGGTTAGTCAGAAGAAATAGAAAGTCTCACCATGTATACAATTTAGTGATATCCACCCGCTAGCTATACAATTTGGTGAGTTTTCTTTCTAGTTTAGCAGAGATCCTCTTTACAGATATTAACATTGCCCTATATAAAAATACTTTACTTGCTTATCACTGTTGGAGAAGAGAAAGACTACCTATATAATTCTATAAAGACAACGAACCACTGGAGTCCTCTCACACTTCTTGCAAAAGCTTTATCACATTAGATATTTAATGTACACCAAGTGACAAAAGACTACCACCAACTGGAGCTACATAATGATAATATGCTCCTTAAACAAACACTCTTTTCTCATCAAAGTATAGACAACTGTCACTAAAAATCTAGATGCAATTTTTTTTGTTGGATCAAGAAAATAAACCGACTAAATGGTCACCGACAAATTTATATGGTACCATAATTAACTACAGAATATTGATGATCAATTGATCATAGGTAATGTAAGAATTCCTAGAACAGCAACCTTAATATGATTTTGGAATGGCACGTCCAATCTTTTAAGGGGCAATTCAAGAAATTTAAATTTAAAAGAAAACCAAGGCAATATGAAAACTTCAGAGAAAAGGAACATACTGAATAAAACGCACAGGGAAATTAGGAGACCTTGGAAGAATGGGATGACATCGCACAATGGAACAAAACCCAACATATATGGAGTACTCATATTTACATATGGAAGTATACAATCTTGATATTCGTATACACAAAATTACCTCTCTGTTCTCAACAACCAAGCACGTGGCAACAGAATCTCTCCCCTTTGGGAATCTCCAATGATTATCTCTATGAAAAAATTTAGACCCTTGACCAAATTGACTGGCTTTATTGCTTTCCATGATCAATTTGTATTTTTCATGATCCACATGCCTGTCATCTAAAAGTTTTTCTACTAGATCGGGTCCATGTTTATTGTCAAATGACTCAAACCTTTTGTCACTTGAATTTCTTCTGAATGAACATGATGCCCTCTCAGCATCTAATATATTTTGCTGATACCTAATATTTTCATCTTCAACCCTGTGCAACCCTTCAGATTGCCGGTACCTTCTTCCTCTTTTAAAATTACCCTGATTACCAGGATACTTGATTGTCTGATCAGCACTGATAGAGTTGGTCAAATTAGCAGACTGACCACCATCTTGACATTTCCTAGTCCCACTGAATATTCCATGTCTACCACGTGGCAGTTCAGGGCTCTGCCACCTTCTGCTAGCTGTACAAGGTTCCCTATACAAACGAAAGGATGGAGGTCGATACCCGTCAAATCTCCCTTCCTCATCCTTTAGATCCATGCAAAATACATTATTTAAACTATCGTGGGGACTGTTATCTCTCCTTTTGCCCCTATTAGGGCTTTTAGTTTCTCTTCTGAAATAAGTCAAATTTACATGATAGCCATCTTCTATAATATTAGTATCCCTGTTGTTGTATGATCTATATCTGTTATCTGTCTCTTCCATGATATCATAGATGTAATTACATTCGGTTACAAGATCATCAGTCCTCATTCTGTTGTTACTCTGCAGCTGATCAATTTTCCACATTTGTTGACTGGGTATCTCATCATCCAGATACGGAATGTGCTTATCAATCCATTGTTTTGATTCATGAAAAGAATTATTGTCCATGTCCTGAACAGTGAGTCTGCTCCCATAATGGGGTCGATCCCTTTTGGACAATTCATCATATGTAGATAGTGTCAGTTCAAGAGGATTTAGCTTTCTTTTCGTGCTTCGACTGCTACACCAGTTGTCATATCTGTATTCTAACTGACATTCCCTCTCAGGATCTTTTTTATAGGAATCCCGGCATGGATAATCAGAAAATCTTCCTGCATCTGCCCTCTTAAAATGTGAAGTCTCTTCTCTTTCATGAGAGTCAAAAGCATACCGTCTATCCCTATGTCTGTGTTGGATCACAGTTGAATTACGCCTTTCATACAGTATCCTAGCATCATATTTGCGGGAATCTTCAACTTTCAGGTGAGTGGGAATTGTTTCACTCATTCTACCAGGTCTTCTTCTGTCATGCAGCAGACCTCTTTGCACAGGCTTTCTACCTCGTGTAAAATATTTAGAACCACCAGACTTGGTTTGGATATAATGGGTTCCGGAAACTGGCTGGTAATCAATTGTACCCTTCTCCGGTAACTCAGAGTCTGCGTTTGGTAATGACCTTATATGATGATCATGGGATTTCTCAATGTCAAGAAAAGCCCCATCTTCAGATGCATCACTATGACTTAGAGAACAACAAGATGAACCTGGGCTATGCTGTCGGCCTTCACCATGCAATGGTTCTTGCAACATTACAGATTTTCTTGGATCAGATATGTCTCTCACACTGCTTTTATTTGCATCATGAGAAGATTCAATTGCTCCCGAGGTTTGATCGACATCACATTCAGTCCCCTCTTGGTGGTGATGCTCATCTGCATCAGAGAACTCACAGTTTCCATTGTTATCTGAATCCATAGACACGTGTTCACGAACAGGTGTGTTCCTGGAATCCAGAGCTAATCTTATGAGAATGAAGTAACTTAATCATTAAATATATTTTTATTCAATACAGATCAGCAGAAAACCAGCTGAGAAGCGAGAAGCAAGACCTAAAAGTAAAGGTGAAGATAGCAATTCCTCGTAACACATTTGACTAATAGAAACCCAAAAATGAAACAGATTACCATGGTCCATGAAAAAGAAATTTAGATTATTTTTATGGAATTTGGCAAATATTTCTGGGACAAAAACTTAAAAAACTTAGAAGCTGACACAACTTTAAGCCAACTACGAGCATCAAAACCATGCAAGCAAACCTATCACATGTCAAACTCTTAAGTCACATCAAATATAGCGTTCGAAGTTCAACGATTTAAAAAGTAAAATCTGCAAGGGATTTCTACCAACATGTCTTTTCCAAAATAGTTGTGGTCCAAAGAGAAGAATAAGTATAACCAGAAAAAGAATAAATCTAATAGAGATACAGACTATCATGACAGTTCAACCAGTAGATCTCAGACCTTCTAGATGTAGAGTTGCCTGATACTCCTCTTCCTTCCAAGCTGGCTGACTCATCTTCACTGGCACTACTAAAACAGAGAAAATCCCTTCCATCTCTCCCAACATCTCCATTCTCAGATGATTCCCGCTGCTCTTTTGGAGAATTTATGGGATCTTCCACTGAATCCTGCAAAGCAATCTGGTGCCAGCACAAGACTGTGAGAAGACAGTGCTTAGATGGTCAAGAAGTGGGCAGAATAAAAAAGTTTGTTACCTGTATGACAACATCAGAATCCCGATCCTGGGAACGTTCCACATCTGTCGATGGTTGACGCTCGATGATGCTCTCTTCCACCTCAATTTCTCTACCTTTTGGCTGATCATGGCAAGTTTAGACCATAAGCATCATTAACAGTGCAATTTCAGAAAACATTAAAAACGACTAGGTTACAAAGACATCTACAATTTTTTTTCCTTTTAAATTCCATACTCAGCATGGTTTGAACAGAAGATGCTAGTTTTCCAATTCAATTCAGATTAAATGCCCGTCCATCATAAAGGTAATTTGTTCTTTACAAGTTTTGCCAACTATAACAGGTTCTCATAGTCCAGCACCCTCAAATGGGTGGCAACCAATCCATTGGCATCTCGACTACAGCATCTTAACACAAAGGAAATCAAGCAAAGAAGAGTTGCTGAGCATGAGAGAAAGAGTAAAAGAAAGAACCTTTAAAATACAGATGCAGGTAGAGTTAGGGGTGCACTCATTATGGTAAGAATTACCTGCATTTTTAGGCAGTCCTTTTCCAGAAAAGGGTCAGAGCTATGCCTTTACTCAATTACTTATTTTGGCTTTTAATAATGGAAAAGATAAGGTTAAAGATCAAGAGGAATTTCACAACCCATTTGATGCATATAGAAGTGGTGTGTATGACCTGATTAAGTAAGGAACTTTGGAAAGACATAACAGCATGAACTGCTGTTGTCTAAACAACTTTTGTTGGCTGGAGAAACTGTTCTACTCTGACTAAAGTGACCAGCGTTTGCGGACATTACTTCTTGAAAAATATGGTCACCCTCAGATTTCACAACCCATTTGATACACAAAAGCTGCAGATATTGTTTAAGAAGTAGTAAATCATGAGAATCATCCAGAGATACCTACCTTACTATTTTTCGAAGTCTTGTAATCTGAATCCTTGACTACCCTTTTGGCCTTTTCTCGGTGCTTATCCTATTTCAGAAGTCAAGACCAAGGATGAACATGTAAGACTTGCAGTAAAAATGGTAGAAGCAACTTTACCACCACTATACATACTCGAAAGTTGGGAAAATATACAAAAAGAAAGATGAACAAAAAATGACAGAAGGAAAAACTATATAATACATATCATAAAAGACAAACTTGTATACATTCATTACCAGGCAATTGCAATACTGTTTCCAACTATCTTCATCGAACCCAAAATTAAAATAATCTGTCAAGTCAGCACCTGGATACCGCCAAGGTTTCTTCTCAAACATATCAATATTCATGTCCAAGATATTCCTGAAAAATTATAGATCAATTACCTATCTATAAAATATGAAAAGATTCTATACTGCTAGGATTGTAGATCAGTTATTCTTCCCTTTTGTTCTCTTGTAAATATGGTTTAGTACATAGGTTGTACTGTTATATACTAATACATACAAATGTTACCATCTCAAAAAAATATGAAAAGATTCTGCCTCAAAAGAACATAGAACGGTTTTCTTTGTTAAACCTATTTCATAACAGTTCTTTGAGGAGATGATCAACACTATCTCCAACAAGCAAATATGCACCAGGAAAAATGGAACCAGTTGTTTCAAATGTAGATTATTGTCTTTTATCAGTATGTTTGAAATGTAGATATTTTCCAATAAAAATGGAAACACAAGAAAGCACTTAACCAAAGATTAGACTACAGGCTAAGTTTGACCAAATTTACTAACCTCGACCGAGGAAGTGAGAAGCTCTGTCCATTTTGAGCAGCGGAGCCTGAGCCCATCCTTTGCATGTAGCCATTATCCTCCCAGGTGCCCTTGACCAATGCTGTGGAGTAAGAATGTAAGCAAGAAGATCCATTGGCTTTGAGATGACTTGAATATGCTGCTTGTGGAGGTCTGGTGTTCTACAGAAAAATAGAGAAAAATCATAATATGGAGCATGAAGCAATATGAAGTAACAGAACTGCATTAATTCATCTTCATTTTGTATACATTGTATTCTGGCCAACTTGCGCGCACCTTAACTAATCCACAAAAGCTAAACTGCACTAATTCATGTAAACGCTGAAGAAACATATCACCATGAAAATTGCCGCAATTGAAGAATTCAAAATAGATAATCAAGAAGAAATATATAAAGATAATTTCAGTAAATTCCCAAGTTGCAGCAAGTGATGGTAGGTGTATCGCAACCCAAAAAACAAGGGAAGCAAATATTCTCTGCCTTTGCTTTGAAAAAGAGCAAAATCAAGATACATGACATAAAGCATGATTCTGCCCATTTTTCTAATAAACAATATAAACATACATATATATATCATCAATCAACTCGGTTTAGCCCGGTTTAACACTTGAATTAAACCCAAAGCAATATCGAAACAACTCAAATTTGTATTTCTCCCACTCCGAAAATTTTGGGACTTCTCGCTTCCCAGGTTTCAAACTAAGTGACTTTGAGTAACATTTGAAAATGTATTTTCACCATTTGATATGAGGATAATTGTAACTTATAGTAGCTTCAGAATATTTAAATTTTCAGTTTTTTAAGAAAAAGAATTACTCTCGTCTGATTTTAACTTAAATGGACTCTTGATCAGCAAATAATGCCAAACGAATTGGAACAGTGTGTATATTTACCTAATATTCAGATTCTCAGGCAATCAAACTTCTAATAAAAAGAATTAGTTCAACTTAATTACTGCCAAGTAAGAGTTCTCGAAAATTGAAAATGGCATAAATATCAGAGTATACAAAATTAGCTTTGTACTAAAGTCCGCCTGCTTTTGCATAAAAGCAAACCAAAATAAGCATCCAAAAATCTAAGCAACTACTCAATCAGGTTCAATTAATCAATACCAAAACAATTACTCATGAAATAATTTCAAATTTACACTACATTTTTTTTCTAATTTCACAGTCTAAATGATCAGAGGTCGATACAGAATTTGAAGTTTATAGTTTCCGACAACAACCTCAAGTTAGTATACAATAATAATCGGGTTCTAGATATTTATACATGTTCCAAAATCTAAGAACTCTCTTTTCTTTTCCTTTTTTTCTTATTACCATGGTGTCCGGGTCAGCTTGCCCATTCACCGAGTACCCTCCTGCCTAAGGGTAACTCTGCCTAGGAAGAAATCAACTAGTGTTGAAAAAATCTAACCAACTTGTTTCGGTCAGGTTCAATAATTAATCAATACCAGAGCAATTTAGAAATATAAACTCAAATTTTAAACTAGTTTTTTTTCTCAATTTTACAGTCTAATGCTACCTTGTAACTGTTTTTTTCTGCATTGCCGTTTTCGCTGCTGTTTGAATTTTGTCCTGAGCCATTTCCTTCAGCATTTCCTCCATTTTCCACAATTTCATCTTCATTGAGAAAATGATTATCATAATCTTCTTCATCATCATTCAACACTATGTTTAAATCATCCTCACTCTCGCTCTCACATTCCTCTTCCTCTTCTCTTACTCCATTTTCACCGTTAAAGTTACCGACGGCATTACAGTCAACGTCGTTGACTTCCGTTTGAAGCTGCGTTGAAATCTGTACGGTGTTTATTGCTGAGCTTGCTCGAACTTCGACGTCGGCGTAGAGATCGCCGAAATCGTCGTCGTCGTCGACGACGTTCTCCATTTCGAGTGTACGGTGTACACGAAAAGAGTGTGAACTCAGGGTTTTAGATAAACCCTACTTAAAGTGTAATTAAAAGGAATTATCATCTCGGTGTATTTAGCGTGATGGAAAATGTTTTTCGAAATATATTTTCTAATTAATGTTTTCCAAAAAATATTTTTTAGAAAATAAATTATTTTATGATATTCAAATGCTAGAAAATATTTTTTAAAAGTACTAAACATACAAAAGAGATAAAATGGCTTATCTCACCTATGTTTTTTCTTAATAGCCTGGTTATAGTAGAGTTGCTAAAATTTAGAATGTGTTTGATAGTGACCAAAATATCTCTAGGAAAATATTTCTGGAAAAAACAAGTGAATGATTAGTATAAAAATAGTCAAATATAATTAACTTTTTTCATGTTAAAAACTTATACTTATACTACATATATCACTAAATAGATATATTACATGTATACGATTTTTACATATTTGTTTAAACTGGTAAATTGTGTAGATTTAAAATTTAAGAATCTATCTTCTCTCCAATTGTCTTGTTAGTTGCTCCACTAAAAGGAAAAAAAAAGTAATACCGTCAACTAAAACTCAAGTAAAATTCATGTTTCGTCTCTAATATCAAAGGCGTTCCACACTAAGGGGTCCTTTGGTAGGGCGTACAAGAATAGTGCGGAATAAGGCGTATTAGTAATGTATGGATTAATAATAAATAGATTAGTAATGCAAGCATTAGTTATGCATATATTATTTTTTATCTACTATTTGGTATGGTGTATTAAAATTATAATGCATTGCATAATTTTTAAGAAAAATAGTTGTTTACAAAAATGTCTTCTATATTCTCAAGCTTTAAGGAACTTTAAGAATAATTTTGTCTTTAACCAACCTAATGCATGCATTAGTAGCCTTGGTATTACTAATGCCATGATTTTCTATACATTTCTTATGCATAGTATAATACCAAATATGATGTATAACTAATACCGTATTAATTATACACAGATTGAAAAAATGTATCAAACAAGGTATAAAAATGCATAAAGCTAATACTTGCATTATTTTTTCTAATACCTTCGACCAAATCACCCCTAAGAAATTTTCTTTTTCTGATCAAGAGTCATCTTACTCGTTGGCTCGAGTTTTCTTGAGATTGGGACAGTTTATTGCATTAATCCTTATGTCACATAGCAAATTTTGTTAATAGTAATCTACAACATCAGTTTCTTTTAAATAGTAGACCACTTTATATTACATTTTAAATTTGGGTAAGTTACACATCTAGTAGATCGGCCAAAAATAATTACATGCTAGCCAGATGCAAAAAAATATGTATAAAATATGAATATTATACATTAATATATAAAAAAATATACATTTTGCCGGCTAATATTTTCAGAATCGGTTGTACTGAATATTTTTCTCTTCAATTAATTTTCACTGGAAAAAAAATGATTGACATTGATGTTATTGCTTCTACTTGGAATTAAATGAAACAGTTGGGGGTGGAGGATTTGCATTGAAATTGGGTCACGAGTCGTTAGCAATAAGTATGAATTAAACTTTAGAACAAATAGGGAAGCCATTTTTTTCAAGAAGATCTAGAACTGGCAATATATATAAGTCTTTAATCAATTGCAAGGCTAGCCTATGGATAATAATGGTTAAAGCAAAATAGTTATCCATCTATATTATTCATTAAAAAATAGGTTGGATAATGAACTTTTAAAAAGCGGGTCAAATGAATAAGAACCATATTATCCACTTATAAAATGGATAACCAATGGATAATTTATGGGTGTAACTTTTATATTTATAAAGCCTCAAATTGGAGGTTCCTCAAGTTTGGGAGGCTAGAAATTCTCCCAAAACTGATCATATTCAAGAAGCCACGGATAATATTGATATCCATATTATCCGTCGGCTAACCATTTTTTATCCGTATTAAATATGTGTCGGGTCGAATAATTTATCCGTTTTGCATTACCCATTTTATACACGCTCATACCCGACCCTGCCCGTTTGTCGCCCTACCTATGGGTATAGTCTCAGAGCTTAATTGCCTGCAAACTTTATGGCTAAAATTCTTCTAAAATTTGCTAAATTTTATCGACTACAACGAGTTTCCTTTTTTCTAGCATACCTTTGATAATTTAATTTATATACGCCGGTGGTTAATATGTAGTACAAGTTAATTTGTCACTCTAAAGTTATTTACAAATAACTGATCATAAAAATTGGGATTTATATTCTAAAAAATAAGGCATGATATTTATTATAGGAAATACGACTTGATAGTGTGAAAATTATTTATATTATTATTGATGTATAATACAAATGAAAAGTTCCATTTTAGAAAATGCTAAAAAGGCAAACATAGACCAATGCATTCCTGTCTATGCACTTTTTCCGGCTTATTTGACTATTCAAATATTAGCTTAGCTTCCTCCGAAAGCCAAATGTTATTAGGTCCGACCTTTTTATAACCATCCCTATATAATAATATTTTATTATAAAAGTCAAATTTTTTCGTAATTAATTTTTATGTTATGTTATAATATATATTCTCTATAACAGCACTTCGCTTTAACATCCAAAAATATTCGGAACAAACTAGACTGTTATAGAGAGATTTGACCATAACAATATCATTAAACGGCATGCCTACATATATTTTACATATTTAATTTTCGGAAAAGGGTCAAATTTACTTTTCTACTATCAAAAATAAGTTGTATTTGCCATTCATTCAGTTTTTTTAATATAACCATGTCGTACCCCAATCGTTAAATTATTCATCCCAATTGAAAACATATAATTTAACTTATATGCACACAATATAATGAGATTTTACATTGTAGATATCTTTCCATATGTTGTATTAACATGTAATTTGTCTAATTTTTCAGAAACTAATTCTATTTCTTATGAATGATTATCTGAATAAGTGTTTAAAAATACTTTTGCATGTATATCAAAAATTATTTTTATGGATTTAATTAAGTTATAAACTTTAACATATGATAACATATTTATTATTATTGTAACAAAAAATAATTACTGTAATAATTATCATGAGATTTCTTCCGTAATTATTTAAGAAATGATGTGATTATATACATCGTCATCGCATAGAAGAACAAACTCTTCTTTTATAGAGAAATGTACCGTTGAAATCTATAAAAATGTAAAAACATGATTCTCTCCTTTTATCTCTGTGTACTTTCTCTTTCTCTAGGAAAACTCTCTATAACTTATTTCTAGGCCTTATTTCCTGAACTCAACTCCTTTTCTTGTGAAAAAACAAACTTCACTCTGAAAAAACTAATGTAGTAAATAGTACTAAGTACTACTTTTTAATATCATTTATTATGAGCTATCTTCAGAAATTCTTCTGCTTATGTTTCTTTTTGGTCATGATTATAATCTGCAATATTGGACTTCACTGGAGTGGATGTAAGTCTGATAATGTAAAACAGAACTCTCTCATCCCTTCTTTTTCAGGCAAATTCTTGCATTTTTCCTATCAAAATAGCAGCAGAACCACAAGTACTATAACAGAGAAGGCATAATTCAGCAACAGAAAACTTTTGTCTTATGGTAAAAGTTTCCATCTTTATGAATTATTTCTGCTTCCTTTTCATCTTTTATAACTCCTTTGGTATATATATATTTCAATTTTCACTTCAAATATTCTCTTTAATTCTGACCATGTGATTGTGTACGATAAGTTTCCATTATTTACTCTAGAAGAGGTGCTAAAGGAAAACAATTTTGATAATAGTTATACGCAAAAGGTCAAACCATCTCGTCAGAGGCGGAACTAGCTAGTAAGAGGTCAATCCCATAAAAATTTAACTGGTTTAATAGGGTAAAAATAAAAATAAAAATTGGTTATATATTTATAAATGCTTGAATCCCTATATTTTGTATAAGGAAAAGTAAAGGGAATATTCTCGTAGGAGTATAAAATTCTGATCGCACTTCTTCATTAGTGTAAAAAAGCAAGGGTTGGCTTAGTTAGTTGGGTGAGTGATTTTCCATATGAGATCGATTTCCCTCACCATCAGCCTCCTCAGCCAGAGCTCGCTGCATCGGGTTTGTCTAATGTAGTTTTACATCTTCTGTGTGGTTTGCGAGCTATTGCACAATGAGCAGATTACCCAGTGCACACCCGAAGGGTAGCAACTGCGAGTTTCCCGAGGAATTTTCCAGAAAAAAAAGACTATTTGAATTCGGGTTGCTTATGTTGCACAGACCTCCAAAAATATTGATGCATCTTTATCGAATCCTCCAAAAATACACTAGTTTTGAAGGATACGACACGCACACAGTAATATTTTTGTTATTCCCCGCCAATATTGCTGTATTTGTAAATAATAATTCTGCAAAATATAAGTTAACGTTATGAAACAGTAATAAATTCGAGCCCACTGAATTGACAGTGTTTCCTTAAGGAATTTATTCCCCTCCTAGTACCCAAGGTAATAGATTATTTCCTCCCAGGATAGAACGAATAACACACTGGTGTAGCGGTACTTCAAACCCCAGTGTTTCTGCGAACACAAAGTTCGGTAGCAAATCACACTTACAGTTGCTTTGTTTGAAGTTAAAAACAATGCAGGACGAAGGAGTAGAAACTCAGAAAATAATATGGAAATGCTGAGAGGAAGGAGTGCAACGTATAGCCAATTTGTTGAGCGAATTGTGTGTTGTGTGTTGAGTGTCTTTCTTCAACATCTGCTGCACATATATATAGAAGCCAGTGTTGAAGAAAACCAAACGTCCACCCTCCATGGTGGAGCAAGCATTAGCTTGTTTGTGGAGCAATCAATCGATCATTTGACCAAATCCAAAGCCAAAGCCAAAGCCGTAGCCGTAGCCGAAACCGAGCCGAGCGAGCGACGACGACGACGGCGCGAGGCTTGCTTTCTTCTTAACTCTTTAAGAGCTACAAGAAGAGCAATTATATATATACCCACCAAAAATGTCTTCCTCTTCCAATATGGGACAATGTCTCATTGTCAAGAGGGGAAAACTTAAAATTTTACTCAAAATTTTATTTTTCCTC